GTAAATCCTGACCAAAATTTTTGGGCATGCTGAAAGTTATAATAAGAATAATAGGCCAATCTCTAGCACTAAACAATAGACAGAAATGTTATTTGATGTGAATAAAAAAGTATGGACTATTATAAAGCCAGTTATATCTATACATGAAATATATTATAATGAAAAAGTATTAAAAATTTTTGATGATTATTCAATTTTTGTGGTCCTTGACACTGGGGGCCCAGGGGTGGATCTACAGGCCTGGGCCTGTAGATCCACCCCTGTACATAATACATGTATGCTGACTGGGTGCCACAAGCTTTTGATACAATCTGGCCATGTTAAATGCTTTGAATGATGTTATGTGCGCGCACTTATTTGCTACAGCAAACCTCCACTCGAGCAAGCAATCAAGTTCTCGCAAGCATCACACTTGCTGTCTGTACTTTTAATGTGCAATACTAAAATGAATGAAATGAAAAAAATAATAATAAATAAAGCATCACACTGACTTAAAACAGCTATCTGCTAGCTGTCAATATAAAAGCAAACACAAATGAATGATGAAAGAGTTTACACGTTAGAATAAATTATTATTGGCATATTTGTTCTCATATAAAAAGTATATTGACAGTCAAAACTTTCTCTCAAGCATGTGGCACATGCTAAGCAAGCCAAGAGAATTTATCCGATTAGTTTAAAATTAAAATTCTTCTATCTAAGCAGGTTAGCATACTCAACGTTAACTATGATGTTACTATTTAAAAAATAAAATAATCTTCTAAAACAAAATGTTTTAAAATTTTCACATAACATTTAAATGCAGATCTTTTTCATAATTTATTAAAATTGAAGATCTCAAATATGCATTTTTCCAATTTATTTTAAGTAACTGATTTGCCGATCTTATTAAATATAAGTTATGTAAAAGAATCTTCCAGTTTAAAAAATTTGAATATGAAGAGGAAAATATAAATATAAGAAAAAACAAAAAGAAAAAATATATCTTATAATTTAAAATATATATATATATATATTAAAGTTTCCATAAAAATTAATAAATGATTATTAATTTTTCAATAGGAAACTATTGAAAAATTCTTATTTTTTTCCCAATGAAAAAATAATCTATATAATTTTAGTAAATAGTATGTATTTTTTTAAATTTATATTTTAAACAACTAATGTAATTCAAGTGATTATATAATAAGAAAAAATAAATATGTAATTCACATTTTCATTTAAAATGTATATTCATGAAACAAAAGTTATGATAACAAATATATCAATATGGAATTTATTTTATTACTACTGGTAAATGGAATTTAGTGTATTAAAATTTATAAGAAGAAGAAAGTCAAAGATAAAAATTCCTATTTTTATATTATTACAATTAATGCAGTAATAACTATTGTTAAGTAAGAACATAATGTGTTACTCATTTATGCCAGTAAGCATTCATCTATCTTTTCATTAAATATGTTGTTCTAGGCCTAGTAAAACCATGGTTCTATCAAAATATCAATTGACTAACTGAAATATATATATATTTTACATTGTGAAAATTAAATGGCAGATTAAAAATTAAATTTAAATATTTATGCATTGCTTGTCTGAAAATTTATCTTATTGTCTTGTTGACTGCATAACAACTTAGATAAGAAAACCTAAACACCTTGTTACATAACACTGTTTAAATAGGTCATTTGTAGGGCAATAAACTTCTCAATAAAAAAAAATTACACAATTGTTATTAAGAATTCCAATGAACTACAGAATAAGTTAATGCTGGAGTTTTTAGTGTTTAAATGTTAATGCTTTCTTTGAACTTGGAAATTAAAATAGCAAAACTAAAACATACAAGTATATAAAAGAAATACATACACAGATTATATTTTTTAATAACTTCATTTAGAACAAATAATAATAGTTTTCCAGATGATACTGGCGCCAGTCAGTATATGAATAGTACAATTACAATAAATTACATCTGCTGTTTACTTAACAAATCAGGATGTTTTACTTTTATTCACCTGTTTTCAAATGATAATTTTATATTCTTAATAAACCTCTAGTGTAAAAATATAAGTATACTTTAGTCAATAGGAAACATTTTAATGACAAAATTTATTTTAATATTATCTAAATCCAATTTTCATAAGTGTAGATTAGCATTAATATGAATTTTTATGTAATTTATAATAAATTCTTTTAAAATGATATTTATTAAACAGAGAAGGAATTTGTATATCATATGTAGCATTTGTGAAAACTTTGCAGAAAAAGATAATTATATTTGGACATATTAAAAGAACTTTTTCTCACTAATTTCTTGAAATTAATGTATAGACATGAAACAAATTAGATATGATAACATTATTAGATAATGTTAATTATAGATATATCTNTATTAATAATATTGTATAATCTATTACTCTCAATTAAAGCAATTTTTTCTTACTGATAACAAAAAATTACAATGCCAAAATCAATTTTCCTGGTATACTGTATTTAAGTTGATATAATCTATTTGAAAATTTATAACTCAAAATAACTGACTATGTGTCACATCAAAATCCATATGATAAGCTATAGTTTCACTTGCATCTGCAATCATTCAATTTGTGACATAGGCTGCAATCATGGTTCAATGAGACCCTCTTTAAGCTGTATTATGTTATAAGTGAATTTGACCAAAAACAAGTGATATTAACCTTTTTAAATCCTATTACACACAATTCTTGTATAAATTAGCACTCTTTTCCACATTTTTCATACACGGAAGCTGTTTGATCTTGGAGAGTAAGTTTGCTTGAATAATTTGCATATCAATTATTAAATAATGGTGTTTGTCATAAAGTAGCATAAGACAAATGATAGAATTGTTATGACCTTCACAAATTCAAAGATCAGTTTCAAATGCTGGTATGCTGAAAAATACAACAATTAAATATTGACTAAAAACTGTTACTTATACTGCAACCAGGGTCAGTGAGACTCAAAAATAATTCTCTGTAGCACAAAAACAATATGCCACATGTGATTGCACTTTGTCACTCAAATACTCATTGAGACTCAAATTTCAAATAAAAAAATCTTACTTTTTTGGACTGCATATGCAGAGACAAATGAAACACTACAGCAGGGGTGGGCAAACTGCAGTCCACATTAATACTTTGTGCGGCCAGCGTTGTACAAAATATTAATAAATATATCAATTTCCCAATTTAAGGAAGTATGCAGCAAAAATTCTCTCATTATTTTCTACAACTTAGTAAAAATTTAGTAAAAAGTAAAACAAGAAATCGACTAACAGACTCACATGAAAACTAAAACTAACAATAAATAATATTCAATCAAATATTTTGGAAATATTACATTCACATCAGTGACAGAAATCAAATTAAGCATACTTATGTTAATTTTTAATATGAATAAATAATTGTGATTTACCCGCCTTTTTTTTCTTTTTACTCATGTATGGCCCGCATCAGTTCAAAAATTTTAAATGTGGCCCTTACATAGAAAAAGGTTGCCCACCTCTGCCCTACAGGATCTCCAAGATCCAATTTAAGTAAGAAGGTTAAAATACTGTACATAAAAATTATTTTATTGTTCATTTCCAATGACTTTAATTAGGCAACTTTTTTGTGTATATTGAATACAACGAAATGAATATAGTAGTATCTCAAACATCAAATGTAAAATAAAAAATATCTGACATTACAAATTACAGACTAAAATTAATTGGATAATTATTCTATTCATGGAAAACATACCATTAATATGTTTAGCTTTAAGGATGTCTTTTCAATCAAAAAAAAGTTTTGGTACTATACTTTTATTAATGTTTTAATCTAACAAAGCCATTAATTTATTACTGGTACTTTATAAAATACAGAATTGTTTGTCTATTTTTTTGTTCAATTTTATAAAATGCTTAATTACTTAAATACTATCTCTTAAACCAAAATCTAATAAAGTTAAAATGTAGTTTAAAATACACAAATAAAATCTATACAATTTAATCTGTAATTAATAAAATATATTTAATATCAAAATTAAATTAATATTCAGATTAATATATTTATTTACATAAGAATCAAATAATAATTTTCTATTTTTACTAGATTTAAGGTTTTTTTGATATTAATTGTAATTAATACATCCAGTTTTTAAGAGTTTCTTTTCATGTTAGAGATTTGTAAATTTCACTCTAACAAAACAGTTTTTTATATTTATTCAGCGTTGAAAAAAAAAAATTATAGTTTTAAATTTATACATTTATTATTGTATAAAAAATAAAAACGAAACCGTTAATAACCGGTAACAGAACTTTTTAACAACAAATTCTGAACGTTTTCAGCCTTCGCCAAGGCCTGCCTTGGGATTTTTAATGAAATAGAATTTCAAACAGGAATGTTAGAACGATTAAAACCCAAAGCAGGCCTCAGCAAAGGCCGAAAATGTTTGGAATTTTTGTCATTAAAGTTCTGTTACCGGTTATTAAAGGTTTCATTTTTATTTTTAATTGATCACTCCAATAATTTGAGAAGGAGATAGTTATAATATTATCATATCATCTCCGCATAAAAAAAAAACACTATACTGTTTTATATTTAGAATGTTTAAAAAATTTTTCTTATAACCTTTTAATATTAAGAGCAATATGTAGTTTTACTTTGACATATAACATGTGTAAATATTGTATATACCGTACGTGTTTAAACCCATTTTAACCTGTCAAAATTTGTGATGAAATGTAAATAGTTTAATATGTCACCAATTACAGGTTTTGCTCTATAAATCATTATAAAACAAACCTAAATATTTACTGATTTAGGTTAAACTTGCAATTTATTTAAATATATATTTCTATAGGTGAGTGTGTAATAATGATTAGTGTAGACTGATTATACAATTCATAACTTGTAAATTGTGTGATGTATAATATAAATGTGATACTTTAAGTAATCAAAGTAAAAACAATTAAAGGAAAACTTAAAAATTAAAATACTTACTTCAATAAGAAGCCATGCTGACTTTTATTTAGTTAGAAATCATATAACTGATATCAAATAAAACATTTTCAACTAATTAATATCGAAGGAAAAGTACAGAAGTAGATAAAAACATTTCCTCTCCAGACACCTTGCTCTTTTTTCAGCCATGGTTGCCAAGGCAACTAAGTAACACCGGCTCTTTACGGAGTTTGCGCGCGGAGATTACGTAATTTCCGGTTGTAATCGACAAGTTCGACAGCTTGCTTCCACTACCATGTGACTTGTAAAGTAAGCGAAATGAACTCCGATTCGAAAACTATTCGAGTGTTATAAGTTTCGCAATTTTAAGATGATGTAGATTGAATGTTTTTATTCCTATATACGATTACGGAAGTTCCTGAGGAAGCGAACTTACGTTATTTATTCTCTAGGAATTGTGTAAGGTGTTGGTTCTGTACTGGGTATTCGATGAAGTAGATCTCAGTATTTAATTTATTAACGCCTGCTTCTCAATTTAGTATAAATAATTCGTACCTAACTTGTGTCCTAAATAATCTAGTTAAATTTGGTTTTTTTTAGAAGTTTTATTAATAAAACTCGGCAATAAATATGCAATTACTCTTATCCCATGCACAATTCCTCTGTGAAAGATATTAAAAACCATAAATATTGCTTTGGTGACATTTAATTTTCATTACATATACAAGATTTATTAGATATAATTAAACTTTAATATATTGAGTTATCAATAAAGAATAAGTTTTATACTAAAATATAATCTTTATTAAATAATTTATTTATATAAAAATATATAAATT